AAAAAAAATAGATTCCAGAATGTTCATTAGGAAAAAAGAACAAGGGAAGAAAGACAGAAACCTACATACATGCCTATAAAGAACACTCTCTGAGGACAAAAGAAAAATCTTTTAACTTTAGGCTTACTAAGCACAAGCAAAAAGCAGAGGTTATAAATAGAGTATGCAGACTTATAGTAAAAGGACAGCTCCAAGCTATCCACTGGAAAAAAAAAATCTCATGCTAAATCAGTGCTTCTCAGACTGGGGAGAGAGACTGCATGACAGAGGTCAGACATCAAACTCTAGATGCTTTTATGCCAGCTGTTGAATGCACCACTTTAGAAAACAGCATTTTGTATCATCTATTAGGTATTGCAGAGATGTTACACAGTTCATATAACTCAAATGCACTAGAAAAAACACAAAACATTATTCAAAATAGCATGCAAAGTTATACTTACCTAGAATAACACCCTGTGCACCTCTATAGTAACTGGGTGTTAATGTTCTGAACCGCTCCTGACCTGCGGTATCCTAAAAAGCCATTCAGAAAGTTCCATTATTCAAAATTTGAGCAGGGCCTAGTGTAGCCCTCACAGGCATTCTGCTTCTAACAAATGCACAAAATAAGTTTCAAAGTCCTTTATAATACACAACTAGCAGAATAACTGACTTTATAAACCCCTCTGCCATGTTACTGCACAAGAGCTCTAGACCCTGCATAGCCTGCCCTGGGAAACAGCTTTAAACTGTTAAATGTAGTGAGTAACAGGACTACATACCAAAAAGCTAGTTATTTCTGCTGAAGTAGTTGCTCTGTGGCTTGTATAACTATGTAAATACACACAGCTGCAGCATTAGGTTTAAGATTTTGTAAAAAGCATCACAACCTGCAGCAACAAAACCAGTCCTCCAACTTTATACAGCGTCATTTAAGTTTGATTCAGAGTCAGAGCAATCGCATCTAACATGTCACAACAGAAGAGATTAGACAACAGAGGAGATTAGAGTCTTCCTGTTTAAGTAAACTTGGATTAACACCATCAAATACTTACAATGTTAAGAGCTCTACAACACAAGAATGGTGATGTCCTTTTCAAGGCTAAGCTACGGGGCAAACCATCCCAACACTGCGTATGTTGCAGACTTCAGCAAAGCCTTCCAGAGCTTCCCCAGCTAGAAGCTGACTGCTGCCAAGTCTTCCATTTTTGTCAACTGATGTCACCTCCATGAACACAAATGTAGAGGGTACAAACAACCCCACAGCCTTTGCAACACACACAACACAGCACAGGTTCAAATGGTTSCCCGGCAAAGGGTTTAAGTATCTGAACCAGGCTTTGCAACTTCTGCAACTCAACTTTATATTTTCAAACTGGTCTGCTGTCACAATACAATTTTACAAGCTTTTCTATTAAAAATGACCTCAGATAATTAGGAGAAACCTTATTCACCAACAAGAAATAAGATAAACCCTAGAACCCTATGTAATAACTTCTGTCTCCTTATTGCTGATCATACTGCTATCAATCTCTGTCATCCCACATGTCTTGATGTCTCTGCAGTCCCTGCAATATTTTTCCTTGTCAAATACATCAATTTCTGTGAGGAATTCTGCTGTTCTGGCAATACAGAAGTCCTGTTCGTCACTTGAGATATGATACACCCTCAAAGCAAAGGAAGAATTACAACACAAATTTAATGTTCCAGTACTTCTTTCCAAGCAGAAAAGGTCAGATATCCTAACAATACAAGAAACAAGGTTTTACTACGGATTGCTACAAGCAGCTACACTTGAGTTCAAATGCTTAAAATATGTTGTAAGTTACACAAATATGAAAGTGAGTTGGCAGACCAGAGAATGTTAAAATAAAAAAAAAAACAAGTTTGGAAGTACTTGCCATAAATTCAGAAATGCTACTTTAAACTAGAGTTGAACATCAACCATTCTAAGGCTGACGTCACATTACTGCTCCCTCTGAGCTGCATCAGCTAAGTAAAGCTGAACTCAAGTATATAAAAGCCTCTCTCTAAATAAAAAGGGGTTTTGACACTATTTCTCAGCCTATTAATACACTAAGTTTTGTCCAAAATGCTTGTCTGAAATGCCTTAAAAATTGGTAATTACAGAGAAGAATGAGCTGCACTGAAAAGTCTTAGATTATTAATCACAATACCCACTCTCCTCAAATATTCTATGAAAGCTGTAGTAAGGATGCAGTATCAGGCAAGTCAGTCCTTGAAATATGAACAATGAATATGCAGTTAAAATTAGGAATGACCACGTCCACATTTGCACATAGCAATTTAGTGTCCTTTCCTTTCTTCCTGTCTCCTCYCTCATCCAAGTCAGACACAGAAACAGCATCGTGGAATTTAACAGGCAGCAGAATTGTCAACCACAGCTCATTCCACCTTCTCAATGGCCCAGTATTAACCTCCCACTCCTCTAAAATGCCTTCACACTAAAAATAATACTAATTCTATACAACTACAGTACACTATTCCTAAAACAAAGCCACACCACAGGAACTTGCAGAGGGAGAGGACAGGGAAACTTACCCATATTGCCAGCTTAGCTTTGTTTCCATCAACTGAAATAGTTTTCACCTTGAAGTCCACACCTAGAAGAAGAAAAATATTTCGGTTGCTGAGCATGAGCCACAAGCATTTTTACAACAGAAGAAAAAAACACCAAACAAAAAACACTCYGGAAACAAGTTGTGCTTTGATAGGAAGAAACTGGGTAAGTTTTGTCAGTTACTTCTGAAGTTTGTTCTCAAAACTCAAGAAGAAGGACTTCTGCAAAAGAACCCACGGACATTTTAGGCCATGGACTCAGCAAATATTTTAGGGAAGTTTATTAAAGCAGAGTATTCCTGGAGAAGTGTTCAAGTTTACCATTCAAATGGGATAACACGTTTGAGCAAAGAATAGAAAGCTAATCTTTTATTAGCTGTATGTGGAAGTGATGGCCCCTTCAGTGCACAGGCAAAACACCTTCTAAACACCTTCTACTCAATGAAAGCTGCCTAACTGTCTGGAGGCAGAAGATTCACACACACTTTTAAAGCAAAGCTGATGGTAACACTGACAAAAGGCACCATTTCAAATTACACAGAAGAAATAAAAATAAACTAAAATACTGAAGTTTCATGTATTATAGTTTGGTTATTGAAAAAAGGCTAAAATTAGCTAAAAGCACATTAAAATATATTTTTGAAGAGTGATCAAATGGGAAAGTATATAATATTCTCCCAGCATAACAAGTATTTCAATACATGCAAAACACATTTAGGGAAGAAAAGCTGTTAAATGATCAACTCTGATAATCAGTCTGCATGAACAAAACCAGTGGAGAGCTGCAGAGCTCAAGAGAGCCTCGCTGAACTAAGCAGTTCAGCTATGTTCTCTAAACACTTTGAGGACATGCACAGATTTGCTTGTGTGACAAAAGGCAGCTCCAAGCTTGCAAGAAGAGTGATGTTTTCAGCCTTGACATGGGAATTGCTGACAGTGCTTTCCACTGTGCCCTGGAAGGTAGCCAGAGACAAGCCAGCCTGTTCCGTTACGCTCCTGCGTGTTGACACCCACTGTCTCCAAAGAGTCTCAGCACTRCACACTAACACACTGCAGACCTCAGGTCTGGAAGAAGCAATTCTGTCACTCACTGTCACGCCACTCTGGCATCTGGGTCAGTGTGCCACACCTATTTATATCATGTGCAGCATCACCTGAGCACATTATTTGTGTTTTAAGYAACTAGCAAGTTAGGCAACTAGGAGCTGCAACACTAAGCGCAAGGAAAACCAAACAGCAATGAAACATTAGAGGCAAATAAAAATATGCATGCAATAAATTGCTTCATTTATAAGAATTGCACTGAAAATTTATGTAGAAGCTCTCATACAAAGAACAAGCAAGTAAGCACAAGCAGTAAAGACAASAGATAAAATACTGAAGTACAGTCTGATAAGCTTCTTGTAACAACACTGCACTAATCTGCTTCAAGAGAATCTGCAAGAAAGAGACAGGTGATAYGGCAGGAGGAAAGAGCAAGACACATTTAGTCCAGCTGAAGCTATCAGGAGTCAAAGATGCTCATGCTCCTGAAAATACTACAAGATCATTTGAAAATTACAATCCAAAAAAGAAACAAAATACGAATGGATTGGTGAGGTTTTACTATAAAATTAGGCTCACTAGCTGTATGTTTGCACAAGCTACAAAGATAAGACATCTTTATGTCTCAAGAGATCATTGCAAGGGAGCAACTAGGCTGCAGTTAAGGCTTTACTCAAGAAGTCATTCTTACAAATAGCACATGCATCTCTTCATTGCATAACCCAAATAAAAGTTGCAGTCACATCAAACCAGACCGGCAATCAGAAGGAACCGGAGACATTAAAGGACAAAAGGTTCAAATTTGGTATCTAGGATCTGTGTTCAGGTATTCTGACAACAGAGCTACATCCTTGAAGATACTCAAAACMCCTGATGGAACACAGTTATTGGCTTACCCACTCCTGGTGATCGTGCCTGAGTCTGGGGCTGGACCAGTTCACCTCCAGAGGCGCCTTCCAGCCTTAACTATCATGCAATTTACATATTAGGACAGTTATATTTAAAACCTCAAATATTTTATCTATGTTATTATAAAAMCTGTCATAAATTTAGAGCTGACATACTGTCTCTCAATAATAGTTTCACCAAAAGAGACAGAAATACTCCAGTCATCTTCCTGCTACAGCCTAATAGTTAAAAGGTGAAAACAAATCCCAGGCTTTATTTGTCTGTACTCTGTCCAGCTAAAAGGATACACAATACACCCACRTGCTGCTTTCTCCTACAAATGCCCCACACACCATGTCCTAACACCCTCATGGGTGTTCCCAGCTCTACCTACTGCATGGTAGTACTAAGACATAAGGTAGAGCGGCCAAATAGCTGTGGCGATCCAGGGCAGTAACCRCTCAGTCTCTGGAGCTTTTCTTCCCTTTTTCTGCCAAATGATCACCTACATTTCAGGTCAGTATAACTATTTCGCAATTCAAATTCAAGTTGTTTCTCTCTCTCRTCTCCTCCACATAAAATACAGACATTTTATTCTGTCAGTAGTAACCCTTGAGGTATTTCTACTTTGTTAGCAATAATTAGCTACCACGTCCACTGTTCTGTATTTTGACAAACCCTGAAGAGGTAGAACTACTTCAGGAAATAATTACTTGGTTTCTTAAATAGTTCACTAATGACAGTTTGTGGCTGGTAAAGAGGCTACATAAGAGCAGCAGAATGAAAACAACCCATTTATAAAGATGCACCAACTAAAGCTAAGCCTATTGCTATCTGAAATATCAAAGCTAATAAAGCTTTTCCACACCGACTACCTGACCCATACAGGTGACATACCACGGTAGCAATGTGATTCTAAACACATTCAGCACCAGAACTGATTACGATGCAAGGTTGCCATCTTCAGCAATTAGTCTGCTCCAGCCCTGCCTCCTTCTACACATCCTCTCTGAAGGATCCTCAGGTCCTCCATTAAAAGCAGTGGAAAGAACAAAAACGGGTTATGATCCTGCTCTACTGGRTGAGCAACTACAAGAGGTGCAGGAACAAGTGTGCCAGGCATGGAGAGCATCAGCTGTATCTGAGTCCAGAGAAGAGGAAGTTCCTTATCCTAGAGGATGGGCATAGCAAAGGACCCAATACTCATTAYGATCCAGTCCTCATTTTGGTGACGAGCTCCCAGGGACACGCCCCAGCAGGCCTGAGTCWCTGGGAAGCAGAGAAAAATAAGTTCGTACAATAAAAAACTTGAAAAAAAAAAAACCTCCCCACCTCCCAGGAAAAAGAAATGCCATTGTTTGATATTTTAAGTGTGATGAAAATGAACTAATGAAGATTTACGACCAAAGCCAACACCACAGCCGTGGGGCCAATTTGCTCCAGCTATTCCATCAGCAAGTCTATGGAAGAACTCCGCATATTGTTTTCTTTCTTCCTTTGGCCTCAAACTTTTGTCACAACTAACTCTTGTAACATGTAATACAGTTTCACTTGTTTCAGGAAATTTGTGTTTCATTTTGAAGTCACACACCAAACACAAGACCACATTACTTTGACTACTGTTTGACAGGCATTTCTCTGAAGCCTAAAAAAAGAGCTTTTATAATTTATGATGGTATAACAAATCTTATTTGTCAAACTGTCAAATTGCAAGGCTTTATCAATGCTTTTCCACCAACGTAACAGCACTGATGAAAAAGCCTCAGTAGTTTTCAGATTAGGTTTTGATGTCAGTATTATAAAAGATACTAATTACGTTATCCGTCATCTTGAGACAACAGATCTTCCTCTAAAGTTAACAAGTTTAAGAACTTAGCAATCTGCTGGACTATGAGTCAAAAATTGTTCTTTCACTTCAACAAATTCCTTTCACAGGATTCAACTTAATTAGAGGCCAAAGGCCACTCTCTATGGCCATCTTGTGCACAGCTGCAACAGGTGCCCAGGGAAMCAGCTATGGGCCTCCAAACGGCGCAGCTTAAGTAAGATTAACTCTCACACAAACCACGAAGTCTGATTTCAATAACTTTAGGTCAACRCTGCATAAAGAAAAACACTCTTTCACAAAATATAGCCAAAGATGAAAGCAGTGACAAAGGCTATGTGAAGATACTTATTTTAAATAATCTTGAATCGAGAATTGTACCCACAATGCATGAACCAGCAATTATTTCCTCATGGTCTACACTAGATAAAGGAAAGCAGAAGCAATCTGAATGAATGTTTTGTCCTTTCTGGGGAAAAAATAAGATTGTTCTTTTGCTGATGAAGCACTAAGTTTAAGCTTGACAGCACTTGAAAGCTACCATCAGAAGTTCAGTAACAAAGCTCTGAAATTTTGGCACTGCCCTATTAGTCAGGCCTATAAAGTTAGATAATGGATAGGCCAAAAACAATCTCCATCCAAGTGGAGATATCTCCAAGTGAATTTCATTTTTTTCTGAAGTTATAATCATCAGAACAAAATGATGCTCTTTGGGTTTCTATAGAAATTAGCACATAATGACACCCTGAATGCAACTAGGCCACTGCATAGTACCACATCAGTAACATCAGTTGGATTTTTTATTTTTAAAACAATCAGCCTCCACTTACTCAGGAAGTTATATAACATTGCCAAGAAAGTCTTAGGAGTACTTAGTAGCATATGCCCATTTATTGTCTTTGCAAAGATCATTCTCCCATCTTAATATGCTTACACCAGTGATTCTCAGAGGCAACAGAAGCTATTTAAAGACACMAAGTGAGAGAAGGCTTAACAGAGTATTSAGGAGTCCCTAATGAACTATAATTCTCAGTGTCCCATAGGAAACCATACCCTTATAAATCCTACTAACACTAATGACAAAGATCAATTATTCACTTCTCTGAAGCAGTYAGGCAGAGCTGAGTGTTTACCAACACATGAACTTTCAGAATAGAGTAAAACAAAAAGTTTTATATTAAGATGCACTATGTTGAAATAATTATCATTCTTTTCTATTATTTTAGTAATGTTTGGCACAGATGGCTGCATGTTGTTGCACAGCTGGTTTCACTGTTCGTAGGTATCATACCAACAGTCACGACACATCACTCTTTTACAGCAGCTCTAGATTCTTGGCTGTCTTCCATTTTTCTCCGAATTTAGCTGACAAGGAAATGATTATTAAGTAGGAGAGGAAAGTGACAATTTAATTTACATTCTAAAGAAGATAAAAGGAGGCCATACAGAGCAGCCCAGTACATCACAGTATTCTTCGGAGTTGCAAGGGCCAACATCCTTTCTAAACAGTCTTAGGTCCTCTTTGGGTAGCGACGTAAGTATCACACCAAAATAAAAGCTCTGGACATCAATGTTACTATTACTACACATAAATCAGCAGGTGATCTAACAGTAGCTCTTACACTTCCATTTCAGCCCAAAATGCTGACAAATACTGAAGTGCAGGTTGTTCTGCTAGAGCAGTCTGTTCACTCAGGACCTTCACCTTCATGAGGACGGGTGACATTTGCATCTACTTAACATATACATCTGCTTTCCCAGCTAGGATAGAGTTTTGTATAAGGGGACAATTGAGGGACAGTTACAACCATGTACAGTCAATACTCTGCATCAATTAGCACTGCAAACTAAAACTGAGCCATAGCATTCTTTTCTTACAGAAGAACAGACACATCTGAAATTTGTTACCAGTTCAGCCAGACTCAACAAGGTACAATTTTGTACTGAACGTGGTATGAGTATTCCTCAAGCAGCATCAGCGCACACTTACCAATTGTTGCTGCAAGTTCCGGGTCAAACGTATCATCTGTGAACCGTAGCAAAAGGCTGTTGGGCAGGGGAGAAAAATAAGAAGTAGTATTAGAATATCAAACATTTACTGCCTCATATCCCTTGCTTGCCAGAAGCGTGTATACTAAAAGTATGAAAGAAGGTGAATCAAAAGTGGAAAAAGAATATCAAATAGCTAAAAGACAGGTCTCAGTTTGCTATGATTTCTTTCCTGTAAAATYGAAAAAAGGGAATGCAGCTATTACAGTAGCCATGCTAAGTCAGAAGGATCTGGGCTTCTTCCTGCTGGCCTTTTCCTACCATCTCCTGCTGAGAATGTGTGTCCATGAGGAAAAAAAAAAAAAAATACCACTCATGTTGTCAGATCAGTTGCCCAGAGCAGTCATATGCTCTGCTTCTCAAAGTGTTTCACTTCTATCAGATTCTATTTTTACTCTTCTAGAACTTAGTACCGAAGACAGACATTTTTTGGCTCCATATTGCCTCACATAGTATTTTCTGTAAGCCCATATACTGTGCTGTGTGCTCAGGCCAAAGAGTAGCTTGTAAAAATACTAAGGGCTACACTCCTCAAAAAAACTCACCGTTTAACAGTAGAAATAGCTTGCCACTGCTTTAGAAGTTCATGTTCTTTTTACACCAAAAGCCTCCACATATACAACATCTCCCCAGTGTACACAACATCCAGATATATTTGCCACCAGTATAAGAACATGTACAATTAGATCCAGGCATAAACATTACAGTAATAATATCCTTCTAAAAAGTACTCAGTACAGCCACYGTACTTGTGACAAATACACACATTTTGTATATATATACATGCATAYATTCTCAGTATACTTTTTTAAAATCATCAATCTTATATATTGRTGACAAATACACATTACCACATGACAAACAGCAGTTTGCTATGTTTACTGACAGCCTCAGTTCATTTTCAGATTTTCAGGCTAGAGAAACAAAAGTACAGGCCTCTGTGGGGTCTTCCTGTGGTTTTTTGTTTGTCTTGTTTTCCTTCTCCTGCCCCCTCCCCCCCCCCTTTTTTTTTTTTAAGACAAGTATTTTTAGCACTTGGTCACAGGACTGCAACTGCAGAAACATGGCTACTGAGCTTTCCTTGCTTCACTAAGTCTGGACTATAATTCCAAAGCTGACCACAAAGCAAGTTCCTTTCCCATTCAAGAATGCACTAAAAGTAGCAGCCAAAAATAGCTTTATTTGCTCAAGAGCGGTTCAGGAAGATAAGAATCAGAGAAATACAGGCAGAAAGGTTTTATTCTTCTTTAATCTTCAGACAGTTGTATCAGGATACCAGTGAAGAGCAGCTGTTTTTACTTACAATTAGTCTCTCAAATCAGCCAAAACACAAAGTCCTCATACTACCACAGAACATGCTCCCTGCGACTAGAGGTAAGACAGCATTTGGATCAGAAGTCAGGACTCAACCAAGCACTAAGCCAGGCTAACACAAAGGCAATGTTTGATCCTGCCTAGTCAAGGAACAAATCAAGTTTCTCTACCTGAACTGCTACAGCATCGGCCACTCTGAAGAGTTTTCCTTCTACGTAAAGGCAAAATCTCTTTCAAAAATGTTTGTTTTAACGAATTAAGTACATAATCAGAAACAGAAAAAAAAAAAAATTTGTGCATATTACCTAAGGGAAAAAAATGTACTCTGCCACATGTACAAGAGATGATGTCACCTAGAATAAATTTGCTCAAGTCATGTCTGATACCAAGACTATTACAGGAGATTACCAGCTCTGTTGATAACAGAAAGYACTGAGCAGCAGATTTTTAGTGAATACAGGATTTCTTAATTAAGAACCTCCATGCTATTTAGGATCACAGTGGAAGACTCAGATTACTGATACAAAACATTAAATCTAATGTGAATTGTGTGGTACATTCCCAGAAGCACTCTTGCATAAACTACTTCCCCTAGTAACACCTATACCTTCCCCTACTAACACCTATCAAGAAAAGGAAAAAAATAGTAACACTCGACCAAAAAAAAGAAAAAAAGGATAGATTTAGACACAAGTCATGAAAAGTGCACAAAATCAACCTCGAAGCACTTAGGAAACAGCACAACCAGTAAACAGCAGAGAAGTCAGTGGCAGGATTACTTTGCGCCTCACCTACCTYACATTCCCCTGCCCCCTTCCACCCGCCGCTGGGCCGCATGTGAGGCTATTTATACACCCGTATGTGGCACGTATATGCGYGAGACCCAGGCGCGCCCCTCCAGGGCGCAGGGCCCGGGGACAGGCCCGGCCGCCTCCCGGCAAGGCCGGCCCGGGGCTCCGCCGCCTCCCGGCTTCCGAGCGGGTCAGCGCCGCCCCGCTCCGCACCGAGGCGGCTGCGGAGGAGGCCGAGGGCCGCGAGGGCGAGGCGGGAGGCGCGGAGGGGCCGCGGCGGGGCCTGCCCGCGCAGCTGGGCCGCTCCCTCAG